GTTATTCTGAATAATCCAACTTAAGGGTCTGTATCAAAAGAGCGACAGGATGTGATTTTATCTGTCGATATTTGCCATTTTTGGGATAATTTGTGCCCAAATCGTCATATTAAATTCATTTGGTAAGTTCAAAAAGTGTCTAAGACACTTTTATTGTAACCATTTTTCTATTTAAAATAATCAAGCAAAAGATTAAAAAATGGAACAATCTGCTTTTCTGTAGAATTGCAAAGCTATATCTTTAAAAAAAGAAATGCTTGCTTTAGCAGGTGATCGCTCAATAATGAATTATCTGATGAGTGAATTCGTATACATAATCAGACTTGCATATTCCATCGGTAAAATGTAAAGTGCATATTACAAGAAAAATGGCAAATTTCTTATGATTATGCATAAAAATGAATTTTCGAAACGTTGAATAAAACTAATAAAAATGAATCTATACATCCAATAGCGTGAGATGATAGATTAGCCAGTAGGACGCGATATCTGGAATCTGAAAATCAGGTTACGATTTAGTGAGTGCACCCTGTGAAGCAGCTCTAGGTACCAAGTTATCCTTTAACTGATGCTGAAAGTGTATGATGGCCGCTCAACCAAATAGAGCACGCGACCAGTGTGACATTCGTACATTGAGTTCAGCTTTGCCCTTAAACCTATGTTTTTTGCCTTTTCAGGAGTATATATACATGGCCTATACTTGGATGGAGCTGGCTGGGATCGTAGACAGGCTCGACTGATGGAACCACCTCCCAAATTACTATACACTGCTCTTCCTGTGGTTCATGTATCTGCATATTCGACCAGCCAAGGCGACAAGAATAGTAAACAGGGCATAGTATATTCATGTCCGGTTTATAAAAAGCCTCGTCGCACTGATCTCAATTATATATTTGCATTGAATCTGCGCTCTCCCAGAGACCCAGATCATTGGATCTTGAGAGGTGTGGCTCTCCTCTGTGATATCAAATAGACCACAATAAATGAATATACCTTAAATGAAGTCATAAGCCACTGTGCCTTTCCTCGATCATTCGATTGAGCCTACATAATGATATGTAGTTCACCTCAATAGTATACAATTTCATTACAACTTATCCGTTTTTTATCGGCATTATTCCCTTTCCAATTATTAACGAATGAATAGGTGTATTCTTCAATTTTTATAATGGATGCTTATCCTGAGGGCACACAATAAAAGCTAAATACCTTAAGGTAGGAGCCTAATTCCGTTATTCCAACACGCTGGAATGACAAACCTGATCCTTGCTCGAATTTCTAATACCAATCTTGGCATCAAAGTCTCGCACCTATCTTAAACCTAAAATGTCATCTATTGATAACGGATATTCTTATTTCTTTTTTTTTATTCATTTCAAATAGGATAATTTCGCCTCTATATTACCAATATATTTATATATATTACCAATTCTCCAATATTGGAGAAATGGAGAAGGTAGCATAAGTTAATATAATGAATATTCTAGATCCTAAAATGAATAAATTATCACTGCAAGGTGACCTTAGATTTTAGTCCTTATAATTCGGTCATAGTCTCTCAGAGCTCGATAAAAAACCATCTTAAAAGGACATAGTAGAATTTGTATGCAATTATACCCCTCAGTATTCAAGAAATTTTGGCTGAAAAGGATCCTTATGTCGACAACCATACTTTACTGTAATCTCTTTTAGTCATGTGACCCTCTATAATTTGATTGTAAAATAATTAATGTCTAGATGCATCGCTGAAAACCTACTCGATAATCACTTTGTTGGATTGTGATTTTGTGCAAATTATAGCTCATTTTACTCATGCTGCTGAAAAGT